CACACACACACACCTCTCTCTTTCATTCTTACCATCTCTGTTGCTTGTGCTCCAGACACTGGAGTAATCACAGTTACTAAATGGAAACTGGAATATATATATGGAACTTAAATATCTTTTCACCACAAGAGAGAAAGAAGATTCTGATCTTGAGATGACGTTTTCTTATAAGACAGATGATAAAACACAAATGAAAACACAATTTTCCGCTTCAGGTGCTCCACAGTCAGATTAACATGCGTGTGTTGGAGAGTTTGTGTAATCTGAATCTGTTCTTGTCCTTCAGGTCCGGCAGTGTGGATCTGGAGCCACTCCCGTCCCCAACCGACAGCTCGGCTCCAACCAATCGCAGAGGGAGCTCAGAGTTAGGAAGTCAAAGTGAGTGATGAGACGAGGGGCTTCCGTGCAAAATACTTCAACAATCAGGGTGTAGATGATGAACCCAGATAATGTTGTCCCCATGTGCCTTCTGTCTGGAATAAAGTCTTCTCAAACAGCCTCTCTGCTTTAAATAAATGCATAAATGGTGATAATATGATAAACAGTTGCTTACTTATACATCCATCAGATATGGAGCAACGATTTATTTGAAATCATGTTTGTGTCCACCTGATGAATGTAAGTCCAGTACTCACTCATCTTTTAGCTCCGTTTTAGTCTCCACCAACTCCTGGGAGAAATATCTGACGCATTAGCTGCTAAATGTTCCTGTGTTCACCAGATCTAAGGGGGGCCAGCAGAGTTCATTGTGAGCTTGCCACTTTTGAAAAATTAAACCATTTTGTTTCTCTCACCTCTCCAGGCCCCGTCACCTTTGCCCTCCCGGAGCAGGTAGTCCAGAAGGCTGATCAATTCCTGATCTCCTACCCCTGGTTCCACGGCCCCATCTCCCGCGTCAAGGCAGCCTACCTGGTTCAGAGCTCAGGACCGGAGGGACACGGAGTGTTTCTGGTCCGACAGAGCGAGACACGCAGAGGAGACTACGTCCTCACGTTCAACTACCAGGGAAAAGCAAAGGTACGTCTCACGATGTCTGATACAGCAAAACGTGTTTACACCAGCGTTTTAGTTCACATCCGGAAGTGGTTCACCAAATAATTTAGTAACATCAATGAACACTTTTCCCCCAACCCACATCGCTCTTCTTTTCGCGTGCATACATCAAACTGGTGCCGACCACCGGGGTAAAGAAATGGTGCTCGCCATTCCGCTCCGGGTCAGACTCACTTTTCATACTTTTCTTTGCTTACGTCTCCATCTGTCTGTCTCTGCAGCACCTGCGCCTCTCTCTAACAGAATGGGGTCAGTGCAGGGTACAGCACCTGCGCTTCCCCTCTGTTATGGACATGCTCAGTCACTTCCGCCTCTTCCCCATCCCACTGGAGTGCGGAGCCGCCGGTGCCGTCACACTGTCCAGCTTCGTAGTGGCGAGCTCCAGCCCTCCATCACAAGGTGAGACTCATGTCATGTGTCTTTGTGAAACAGAAAACATATTGATTGAGTGTTTGTAGCAATGGCTGAATTTGACTTGTACATAAACATGTTGATTTCAGTTTTGGTCTTATTTTTGTAGTTTTCTTTTTTATTGGTTGTGGTAACTTTGCACTCAATGATTAACTGCTGAGAGCTGGGAACACGCCAACGGATAAATCTGAGAAATGATTATTTGTATTGAACAAAAACATAGTTTTCTCACCAAAAAATATATACATTACTTTCATGGACATATAAAACTTATCATGAAGGATCACAAAAGAAGAACTGTGTGCACAACTAGGACAACTGCTGTAGGTCCCATTAGATGAACTCGGTGGGTGCGGTGTTAATATTTCAGAAATGAGAGAATTATCCTTAAATGACACTCCTGTGTTGTTGTGTAATGGTGAGCAGGTGTGCAGCAGAAATTAGAGGAAGTTGTAGTTTTTGCTCGATGTAGTCACCAAAATTCTCATCTCCTCTTTTTTTTTTTTTTTTTTCTCAGGCGCTCTTCTCGTCCCTTTCTCCCTCCATCGGTGGAGCTCCGAGCCCAGCTTGGCTCACTACAGCTTGGCTCGCAGCTCCAGTCATCCCCCTTCCTCCTGCTCCACCACCACCAGCGCCAGTCCCAGCTCTGTGTCCCAGCCGGGGAACCACCCGTTCACTCGCACCAACCCCGTCCCAGACCCTCCTTCGTCAGCCCCCGCTCCTCTGGGTCGGAGTGAATCGGTAGGGAGGAGACCCCTGCATCGCCCCCACATCCCTCAGCGGGACTCAGACTACGAGCTGGAGCCTGAGCGAGGTCGCAAGCGGGCGATAGACAACCAGTACATGTTGCTTTGACCCGTTGAGTCAGACACCTCCATCACTTCTGACAGATAGTAGTCACACGTGATTGTGCACACATCATAAGACAAATTTTGTTACCCCCACCCAGTTTCATGTGGGTGTGTGAGACTCTCAGAGCTCATGATGCTATTAGGATTATAGCAGACTCATGAACTGCAGCGAACAGTTGACACGCAGCAGTGTGTATATCTAAACATACACACACACACTCACTATGTCTGTGCTGGGAGCGTGTTTACCAGCGTCAGACCGTCACAACCTCCACCCTGAGTGTCCACAGTGAATGTATTTTTGGGAGTTTAATAACAGTGTTGACCGTGATGATTATTCTCGTTTTATTGATGTTGAGGTTCTGTGTGAGAGAGGGAGAGCCAGATGTGTTGCTGTCCTCGAGCCCAGGCAAAAAATATCTTTAAATGTTTCTATTGTTGTGAATTCATTGAGGTGCACTTGATTTAACTTCTTTGGCACCTAACCTGATCTGACGGGGAGGCACTGCCTGTGACATTGTTTAAATCAAGTGCTCCTTTAAAATATTTAAAAGACATTTAATCTTCACACACAAAACTTTGTGTGGAGCACACTCCCACCTTTTTATACACAAACGAAAAAGCACTCTATTTCAGAGTGTCTGTACACTCTTATTAGATATTCCTTGCGCATTATTATATATTTAAGTGTACAATGCTTTCAGTGCACTTTGGAAACAATGTGTATTTTTTATATACACAGATTCTTTTGTAGAAAAATTACAAAAATGTAATTAAAAAGGGGAAAAAGTGGTTAAAGTCAGTTGGGAAGCTATAACCGATCTGCTTCCACCTTCCTTCAAAACCTTCGCTGAAGCAAATACAGAGAGCCACAGAAAGGATTCCAGATCAGCTTTCTTCATCAGCACTGTTTTTACCAACAGCAGTGGGAACTTGTTGCTGTTTGTGGTGTGTGTGTGTGGATGTGTTTGTCACGGTGTATGTGAGATGATTGAAAGTTTAGTCCATCAGCATGAATGTGCCAATTTGAGCGTTTGAAGGTCTTACAGAAGTCATTTCTGCTCCAAAAACCAAGAAAATGCAAAATACAATAATATAATTTATATATATTTGTCGTCCTGCAACCTTCAGCACTGCGTGCTACAAACAATACAAAGTCACGTTTCCCGGATACATGTTAAGAGTTTCAAGTCACAAAAAGTATTTTGTGCCACCAAATGAATTTCTAAAAAAAGTGCTCTTCTGCCCTGTTTTATATATATATATATATATATTTATTTATTTACAGGTGTGACATTATTTTACTATAATAATGCCACTCTATTTTCTATTGGTGTTGTGGCATAAAAAAAATTAAAATTGTGAATTTTGTACACATAAAGTAGAAATAGGCGCCCAGTAGAAAACATAAAAAAGACTTGACTCCAAAGAGCGTAAGAGGAGAAAACAACGCACGTTCAGACCAAAACAAAGTAGTCATTGAATCTAAGCAGTCACATATTTGACAACAGTGAGGGTCAGACTGCTGGAAACTTGAAGCCAACCTTAAAACATTTGACACCTTTTTCAAGTTAGTTTCGTCGTGGTTTGATAATCTAACAATAAACCCGTGAAGGGCTTTTAAAGGTAGACGGTGATATGATGTAACTCCTGAAAGACTGAAGTGCCTCTGTAGATATGAACTTTTATTTTCTCACAGCTTCATCAGGCAAATGTCCACTCTGGGAACAGCATCATGTCTTCGACGTTTCACACTCAGCATTAAATATGTGTAGTAAGTATTTTCTGTTCACCACAGCAGCCAATTGAAAAACCGAGGAGGGACTGTGAAAATAATGTATTTTTACACTATACATCATTTTTAATAGAACTTCTCTGTTTTAAATGAGAGCCTCTGTGAGGAAGGTTTGGCATCTCAGGTTCATTGTCAAGAGCTGACGTACTACGTTTTTATTTAGGAATACATCCAAAAAAGTAAGCCTTGACCAAAGCAAGCATTTTTATCCAATAACCAGTTTATTTTATCTCATCCACCATCAGTAAGTTTCCTCAGAAGCATCTGAAAGAGCTCAGTTCTAACCCAAAGCCATCCAAACTTTATGGTGTTTCCGTCTCCAGATCAGCCTGTGGCCAAACCAGATTAGTTTTCAGTCGCGTTCTGACTCGTGAAACTGGTCTTTCCTTACAGAATAGCTCCTTAATAGATAGTTCACCTAAAAACAGTAGTTTTGACACACCAAAGCTGAAATGTCCAGTTTTCTGTAATTCTCTTTCAATAACTGAAGCTTCACTTCCATTAGCTGCGGGATGCCTTTGGGAAATAGTGTGCTAGGACTTTGTCTGTTTTGTCTTCTAACCTTGCTTTAACACTAACTTTAGCACTTGATTAACATTTACCTTCAGTAAAAGTCTGCTTAACGTATGGTTTAGACCCAATTCTGTCTGTCTGTCTGTCTGTCTCTGTCTGTCTGCCCTCTTTATCGTTGTAGTTTCCTGTTGTTTTTTTTAAGAGAAACGCATAAACGCAGCTTCATTTCCTCATGAACATGACCAGAGTAAGTCCGCTGTGAATACTCCTCTCGTTACGCAATAAGTCAGCTTCGTCTACCAAAGGAACATTTTTTTTACAATGGTTGTGAAGTTAATGTATCATCATGATCAAGACTGACATCTTTAAAGTATTTATAAGGGGAACAAAAACAAGGATGTTTTTGGCAAAAGTACGGTTGGTCCTCCTGCCTTTTATGTGCCCGAGTCTAAACAAATCACTCGCCACCTCTGTGTTTCATTCCTGCTAAAGAAAAGCAACGGTAACAATAACTATTTTGACTATCAGTCCCCTCTCTTTGCTGACTTATTGTTTATTTTTTTGTGTTAGGGAGAATGACTGTGCCTTTGCCAGAAAGCTGCTGTTGCTTTTCCCCTTTTTTTCCCTGAAAGCTCAGGGTGTGATGTGGTGCAAAACTTGTGTAGTGCAATATCTGAAAGATGCTCAGTGCTTCACACCTTTTTTTTTTTATGTATGTAGGGAGCGATCAGAGGCTTCTGGATGGATAGATTAAGTGAGTGAGAATTCAGTGTTTGCACCTGCTCATAGACTGAAGGAAAAAAAGTATTTGACAAATGCCAAATTTCCCAGAATAAATGCTATATTTAAAACCAGGGCTACCACTTTTTCCTGTCGCTTCATGGCTTCTAATTTTTGTTTCATGGTTCACTCGAATTTGTCTGCAAGAATCGAGAGCTTTAGAACATCCCCATGTACCTCAGGTGTCTTCAATCCTCAACATCCGCTCCAGCAACACCTTTAGTCTGTGTTTATTTTAAAATGTCCAGTTGCTGAATGTATTATGTTCTCAATACTGTTCATTCTGTTTGTTAACTTAGCACTGTAAACATTCCAGTTCAACCAAACATCCCCTCAACAGCTTTTAAGAATCTGAAATTTGTGTTTGCATCCCTTTCAGTAATAAGCATCTAAATTATATTATATATATATATATATATATATATCAACTGTATATTTGACTTTTTGTAAAATAAACCTAACCAAAAAAAAGAACTTGGACTTTTGACGTCTTTGTGTCATCCTGTTTTTCTAGAACATGCTGAGAGAGATGAGCATGTGATGAACCAGTGAAAGATATTCAGGTGATGGATGGAGTTTAGAGAGGTTGCAGATAAATGGTACTTACCGTTTTGTCGATCTCCACCATCAAAAGTCAAAATAAGATTACAATATATTCTCAGATTGATTGAAATTATTACACATTAAATGAGTAGTTCAATATTTGGGGAGTTTCACTTCCTTCAGAGAGCTTCATGTTAAATATGAAGCTAGCTGCAGCTAGCAGCCGGTTAGCTTAGCTTCGCATAAAGACTGGAAACGCAGACTTATGGAAACATATTGCTGCCACACCAGAAGAAGTCAAATGGATGTTGTAACATGAAAAGCTTATTGTTATGACAAGCTGTTTTTTATGTTCTAAAAATAAATTTTATGTTATAAGATATTTGTGCATAATTACAACATACAAACCCATATTAAAACAAAAAAATTCATGTTATAACATTATTTATCTTGTGAAAGGTTTCATGTAACAAAACGTTTCACATTATAACACATTGTAACAATGTTATGAATATATTGTTAGAATATAAAATGTTACTTGTTATAATGTGATAATTGTATGTCGTAACAAAGTGGAAATATGTTGTCATCTCGTTATAACAAACATTTCATGTTGTCATAATCTTTTTTCTGGCGTAGCAGCAATACACTTCGAAACACTGTATTCTTACCAGTTTCTACACTGTTTATTGGGATTTCAAGCCCATAACACAATAATCTGCTGATTATACTCCCAGTTACTCATTCGGACTGGTCAATCTCAGAAAATAGTAAAAATGGCAGTTTCAGACAGCCCAAGGTTTCAAAATGCTTGTCTTGTAAGACGAGCCCGTAACAGTCACATTGACAGTGTATTACCATATATGACAAAAGACACAAATGCTTTCAGTGGAAAAACTGGAATAAACAAATGTCAGCATTTCTAGTTGATAAATCACATTATAACTAATCAATTAAAATATTGGCAGATAAGTCACTAATACCACATGAGGTAACACAATGGTGACTCAACTCACTTCGGCGTGAAGCAAGGTGCTGTCTTTTGCAGTCTCTGCTAGCATTGTGAGTAAACATACAGACGAGATGTTTGGATCTCTGGGAAGTGAGGTCCAAAAGTACACCTGCAGTTACCACTTAAGGCCGTATGTGCGGCCAAAGAACCAAAGAACGAGAACGTAGAGATCATTACTTTAAAAACAATTCAAATCTACATTCAGATTTCTGACAGCTGTGAACTGTAGCAAACAGGAGTGTGTTGTATTCTGCACCTTTCTACTGTAAATCAACTTATGTTTCAATGTGTTGTGATCTAAACATGTAATCTATCCTCAGTTGTTGTCTTATAAGAGATCTTGAGACTTTCTGAATAAAGTTTAAATACATATTTGAGACGTGAGTGAAATAAAAATGGTGCACTCATGAGTATTTACAGTAGCAGGAGTGTGTATGTGGTGGGACTGATAAAAAAACTACAGTGTCCATGTTCACGGTGATAAACAGATAAGAAACCCACAATGCAATGCAACCACAGTAAGCCATTCAGTTTTTAAAACTTTTTTATTGTTTTTAAATTTTTTTGCTCATTTTTTAAATTATTTATATTATCTACAAAGTAAAAGTTTTAACTTAAAAGTTACATAAGGGTCGGGTGAGAAGTGGGATCTGATCACCTCAGCCATTATAATTTCATAAATAACGTTCCTCCCGTCCTCTTGGCTGCCAAAACGTGTTTATTTCACAGGAAGCTTCTTGTCATGTTTCGTTTTTAGTTTGGTTAGAAACCTTTCATGTAGTCTGGAAACAAACGCAGCACATAGCAGCAACAATAAACAGTAAGATTAATACTGTCTAAAGGTTGGAAGATTCTTTTTTTTTTTCCATAACAAGGTGCAGACAAAATACAAGTTCCAGTTGAATTTTCTTCTTCAGTCTCACTGATTAGTTACTCTCATTCTCTCTTTCACGTCTTACTTGGCAAGCTGACTCAAATTGCAATTTGGGACCCCTGAAAGTGTGTGTGTGTGTGTGTCTGGTGTGTGTGACTTGTGTGTGACCTCCGTGTGCCTGTGGCGGGGTGTTTTTGTTTGAGTGTGCCCCTGTGCCTGCGCGTTTGTGTTTGCAGATGTCTGCCGGGGCCCTAATTGGAGCAGTCTTGCGCGTCCCATTAACAAACTCTCCTACGCTTGTTAAACACATGTCACTGCGCATCAACCTGTTACACTTCTCGTTATTCCCTAACGTCTGGGAGCGGAGGGCAGAAGGGGAGCGGAGGGAAGAGAGCAGAGAGAGCAGAGGCAGGCGGGAGGCCGCAAGAGAAAAGCTGATGGAAGCATGTCCCTCGGTGAGGCAGAAGGAAAGAGAGGAGAGGGAGGCGTCTCCCATTCCTCATTGCAAATCGCCCTGGTATGAAGGCCTGCGGTTGAGACAGCGGCGACCACGCAGAGCGGGTCCCTCAGCTCCGGCCTGGAGCGCCTCCCTAATCTACAGCGTGCTGCTGCATCGATGAAGCGTTGCACTGCAGAGACGAGACAAAAATGGGGGAAAACGTGAAAGCTTCTGGATTCAGCATTGTCCACAGTCTTCAATTGGTTGGTGTTCCGCCGCATCTCGAAAAACACAGAAGTCACCAGTGTTCCAATGTAGAACATTGCCTGTAACTCGTTTTCTTCCTTCTCCTCTTCTCCCCTGAACCTAACGCAGGCTTTCCAGTGTTAAAAGAGTAAGCGGACCACAAATATGAAGAAAAGCACAAGCCGAACCCACTAAGCAGCACTGTCACCAGTATCCGAGCTATCTTTGAAGAAAAAGACGAACAGCTAGTGTCATAGCTAGCGGACAGAGACAACGAACTGTATACAGGGGAACTCCACCCACCTGTTCTAATCTTCCAGCGGCCCCGGGCCGTAGCAATCCACCTCCTGATAAGTATAACTCGTGAAAAACACAACACTCGGCCAGCACAACTGACCCCATGTCGCGTTCCTGCTGCATAGACAAAGTTTTTGCTGGGCTATCGAAGATGAGCCCACGTTCCCAGCTAGCTATCCCTGGAGTTCCAGGGACCAACTCAACACCCTAGAAACCTTTGGCAGCGGCCGCAGCATTGGGAAAAAAAACCGCAACTAAAATCTGCTTAACTCAAGCAGATTTCCTTTCATTTGAAAAGGAGCGGAAACGAGCAACCCCTATACCACTGTCCTGACACCCCGGTCACCACCCCGACCCCGCATGGAGTGTGCCAGTTGTGTAAAATACAACCAAACCTTGTGGACTGTGGCCAGGTAGGAGAAATGTGTCGGTGGAGCGAACGGGTGTATCGGGGGTTGAGGCCGTCTGGGCATTTGGTGGCTGCGGACCCCCCTGCGAGGGACCCTGGGGTACGCCATCGAGCATCACTCCGTGGGTGGTGGCGCGGCCGGATGGTGAGGGGATGGCACCCATGAAGCCGGACTGCCGATTATGGGGCCTAGGATGTGAGAGAAAGTGTGTGTCAGTGAGTGTGACGGCGAGGGCAAAAGTGTGACACAAAGTGAGAACGACAGCGGAAGACAGACGGAAGGAAGAGAGACAAGTTCATTAAAAAGATGAAACAGGCGGTTTCGGTGTTACAGCGTTCACAGCTCCTGCCTCTGTGGTTGTGACCAGGGTGTGGGGGGACGTGGAGTAGAGCATGCTTGTGCCAAACAAATGACTAATATGATGCAGAACTATTTAGGAATTTTGCTGACAGATATATTTTTTTCAGCCAACAAGTCTGCATTTGTTAAATAGATATATTTTTTGAGCAAAACTATTTTGCTTTCTCTTTGAGAGTGAGAAGAGATCAATATTAGTCTCATGTTTGTGCATTAAGTATGAAGCTGGAGTCGGGAGGCAATTAGACTAGCTAGCTTAGCATACGGTAACAGTGCGAGGAAGGGGAAAACAGCCGGTCTGGCCTTCTCTAAAAGTTCAACTTACTACTAACAAATCTAAAACATGAATTCACATGATGTCTCTCATTTGTTTAATCCTTACACACAACTGAAATGTAAAAAGTGCAATGTGTGGCTTTCGTGGGAACAGGTTTTGGTCTAAGGGGTCTCTGTACAGGAACTAAGGTGTTAAACCTGACAACCACACTGTGATGTTAAAGACTCCACGGAGCTGCACACAGTCACTACTTCACTTTTACGCTTCTGTTTGTGAGCAGATTAAACAAAGATAAACGTTTAAAAAGGTGCAGTGTTCAACATTTCGGAGGCCCTGTTGGCAGAAACAGAATATTCAGAGGTATGTTTACGTTAGTGTGTAATCATACCGTCCTGAGTCAAAGTCCATACTTTACTCACACACACACAGATTGTGTCTGTGTGTAAAGATATTCTCATCTAACTCTCTAACCAAAGCGAATGAGTGTATTTCCGAGAGCGGTGAACTGACAGAAAATGGCCACAACTCCACGGTTACCAAAGAGTTAGCACTGCATCTATTATCTATTAGAACACGGTTGGACTGAATGAAAAAGCGTTGTTCTTCCTCTCATAACTAAAACTCACCTACAAGAAGAGAAATGATACGCATCCTAACCTGAACTGGGTCAGACTGCCAAACAACCATCCACTGCACTCGCAGCATTATCACCTAAATATGACCATTCATAAACTTAAACACCTGCTGGAAGTGATCCCAGATTTATTCACTCCCACATTCAAAATCCCCTCACAGGAAACACTGCCAATCTGATTACTTGGCTGGAGCTGCTGTGGTTGTGACCTACCTGCTGCACGTGTGCCATGTGGTTGTGGTTGTAGCCGTGCTGCACCTGCTGTGGGTGTATATAGACAGTCTGCTGGGCAGAGGGGAACGATGCCTGGGGAGACTGAGGGTTGGGCCCCGGGGTCATGGAGGGGGGCGTGGCGGCCAAAGCAGAGTACATCTGCTGCTGCGGGGGCTGGTTGGCCAGGTGGAGGGCCTGGGCTGCTGCTGCCGCTACGAAACACGAGAACAATACTGTCGTGCTCCATTTGGAAATATTCGGCTCTAAACTGCTGTCTGAGGCAGGAAATGTACTCACCTGCTGCTGCCTGCTGGTGCTGCTGGTGCTGTACTGGGCTGGCAGCTGGGTGGCTAGGAGGGCCTCCATGTTGTGGGGGACCACCCTGCTGGCCTTGGCCTGTAGGTGTGGCAGAGGGCTGGGGGTGCTGTGGGTGAGGGTGCAAGGTTGCGCTGGGGTGGGGGTACTGCTGAGGCATCGGCCCTGGAGACACTGAGACAGGAGTCAGTATTAGTTAAGGATGGGAAGTATTTAAAGAGCACACATAACGTTGCCTGCCCGTCCTGTTCTTGTTGAACATACACCAGTGGGTGGGCCGACGTACCATACATGGTGTGTGTCTGCTCTGGGTACTGTGTAGTTGAGGAAGAGACAAGGCTGGGTTGGCCATGCGTAGGAGGGGCCATCATCCTGGCGTTGCCCTGCATAACCTGACTGAACACATGCTGCGGCTGGAGGACACACAAGAACAGAGAGAAGAAAGACGACGTCACTATTAGGAGGCCCTTCTCGTGTGGTAAAGTCATTTTAAATCATAGATTTAACAGTCAATTACTAACATCAAATACAGACTTTTGGGCACTCAAGCACAGTCAGATACCAAAAGCTGACACGCCTGTTCTGCTCAAATATTCCTGATTTACCATTGAAAAGTTGCCAATTTCAGACAGTATAAGAGGTTGGTTTCCTTTGTTAAATAAAAAGTGTTTGGAGATTTATTTTATATTAAATATTTGGTTAGAATAAACATTTCTAACAATATCCAGAACTATTCAACATAAAAAAAAACCCTGATCATTTTCATTTCATTGGTGCCTGGAGTAGGTTTTCTCACATTAGTGAAGATTTCTCTGGTGTTTTTTTGTAACTGCAGTAAAATTAGTACCTAATAAAGTTCAGTTTTCATCTCTTTGTCTTCCTCTTTCATCATCTCATCCCATTATGTGGAATAAATTCTTCTTCACCAACATAAAAGCAAATAAAAATGAAAGAAATTCCAGCCTCTAATCAATACGTGGTCATTCTATTACCCTTAAACACCCTGAAGCCAATTTCCTAACTGCCTCTGTGTTCCTTCATTTGTTCTATCACAGCCTGCTTGCAAACAGGTAACAAAACTTGAGATTTAAGTGGCAGGAGCCTGCAGTCAGCTCCGCAAAACAGAAGTGATGAAACACTAGCATCATGCTGGCACCCTGTCAAGCTGCTGTACCGCAGACATCTGTCAGACAAATGGCTGACTAGTGAACAGCTGGGAGGGACAGAGACTGCCAGCACTAACTGATGGCACCAGAGTAACTGTAATGGTTACATGTGGTTCGTGATAGAGGGGCCTCCCGGGCCGAGCACTGCTGAGTAAGCTGCTAAAGGTTGTATTGTATTGTTATTGTGAACTGGTAATGTAAATCTTACCTGTGATTGATAATGTGTCATGGGCTGGACCAGCTGCTGACTGGTGAACTGCTGCGGGCTGCAGGTGAAGTACTGGGTAGAGTAGGCGGGGCTCTGTGCTACAATAGGTGGACCTGCTGCCGTCGCTGGGTGCATCATGGTGGGCGTGCCAGGGGGGTGGTGCTGGTCCGACCTCTGCTGGGGCATGTTGGGTACTGGAGATTCATTGGGAAGAACTTTCATTTAACATCGAAATCTGAACTGAACTGAATCGTGGAGGAAGAGTACTGCCGGTTTTTGAAAGAGGCAAATGATTTACAGAATTGGCCCGAATATAAGACCACTTACTACCGATGTCCCCCTTTTTTATAAGAAACACTTGATCAGTCCAGAGAGAGGATAGTCCCAAGACAACAGCAGTCTTTTCTATTGTAAAAGGGAGGTGAGAAATACTCTGTCTGCTTCTGTAATAAAGACTTTAGGAGATGCTTTCTACTTGTTTTCATTCATTCGGAACTTATTTCACCTGAAAGGCTGACTAACTCTAAAAGGACACACACAATGGACTTGCAGTAGAGCTACAAAAAAGTAAATAAATAAAACCCTGATGCAACTCTTTCTTGATGTTGTGTAACACACGGACAACACTTTTGTCGCAAATACCTACAAATCTAGGTTGTGTGAATACCTGGAATATAATACGAGTCCAAACATAATCAGAAAAATCTTACATTCAGGGCCAATGCAGAAATATGTCCAATTAGATGTATATAGTAAGCTTCAGAGGGGAGGGGGAGAGAGGTGGGACAGAAATGAGACAAAACAGTTGTTATTCTCACCTTTACCTGGTCTGTAGGGTTTAGACTGGCTGACTGTCATATGAGGCATCTGAACCTGGTACATAGCTGGAGACTGGAGTGAGGAAGGGAATGGAGGATGGCAGATGAAGAACACAAGTTTATACTCAGTCTTCTCAGGGCACTTCAGAATAATTTCTACAATGAAAACCAGCCCTCAACTAAAAACAGTTGAATTATTGCTTGTGTGGGACTATGTGTCCTTCAGTGGGGCTTTTTTAAACTGTTGCTTTAGTAGCTAATCCCACACCCAACACATAGAAAAACATACTTTAAAAAGACAAATGTGCATGTGAGACTGGGAATTGTCTCTTACCTGTGACCACATGCATTTTCTAAGCCTGTCTATCATTGGGCAGAAAAGGGTGTTTTATGACTATAACCCACACACTGCTTGTCATCTCCCATTCCTTAACTCCTTAACATTATACACCATGCACTTGTATTACAAACAGTACTGCAGCAGAAACAAAGAGGCTTAAACTCCTATTAGCTTACAGCCATTTGTTCGGTGAACAGATGAAGCCAATAGAAATAAGATGACGTTATAAGTCCATCTGTGGTGACAGTTTAAAATGAATTGCAATAAGAAGTTGGCAAACCAACATCTGATGGCATTAATTCAACAAGCAAGCAAAACATCTCAGTACTGATTGGGCTTAAAAAAACAAAAGGATTTAAAAAATTCACAAACCTTCCATATTATGCTTTTCTAATGGAGCGAGAGAGAGGGGAGGAGGGGGAGAAAAGGAAAAGAGAACCACTCTTTAGTTGTTCACCAAGGTATTTTATCGTTTACACGTGTCTGATGTTGGATCACCAAGTTTTTCTTAAAGCAACACAGGAAAACATTATTGATTCATGGCTACAAATGTTAACATCTTTCATCAAAAATAAACTAAAAACCTGTAAAAAGCGCTTTGAGAGTGCTTAAAAATAGACTTTTGACATCATACTGTATATAAATTTCACATATTTCCACCTTCCTTTAAACATTTCTAAGTCTGTTATTCCAAATATTTACCTAAACATTTTTTCAAACAATTTAGCAAAACTTATCGAGATAAAAAACAGTGTCTGGAAGAAAGAATAATGGAATGAAAAGTGATGAAGGATACACATACTCTGTGTATGAAGGTGTAAAAAGAAAACACAACCACAACAACTATAAGATGTAGCCTATACAAAATAAAATAATGCATTAGAGATGAGTCAAAGACAAGATAGTAAAATAACAAAGGACAAACATGAGCAGACATGTTGTGAGATCTTACGGTGATGTTAAGAATTTGTTTTTAATGAACTTTGCATTTCATACTGATTCAATGTAATACTCTGTGTGATCTGCATTTCAGCATGCAGGTGTGGGTCTCACCTGCACTCCGGGGCTGACTGGTGTGAGGGGATACATCTGGGGGAAGCAGACTGTCTGGCCGTACACAGCCGTGGGCTGCTGCACCACGATGGAGGGGCTGGGCTGGCCCTGAGGCCGGGGAGGCGTCGGGGTGTTGGCTGGTTTGGGCTGATGAAGGAGCGAGACAGACAGAGAATAATGAGTTTACCAACAATCTCAGTTTGTGGTATTTAAATTGTGTAGAGTGTCAGCAGCGGGGCACACTGACCTGCGTATTGAACCTGGGTTTGAACTCATTGGCATTTGGGTTCAGGGTTGATTTTCTCACTTGACTGCCGGAGGAGAGCAAACGGTGAAAAAGTTAACATTTAAAAGCATCAGCCTGAAATTACCATCATCATTATATTTTTCTTACTGTCAACAAAAAGGTCAAGTTATTTCCTAAAAAAAGCTGGGCACTGTGGTTCTTAACAGGAGTAAGTAGTTCATTTGTTGGAGACTATTTTCAGCAGCAGATTTATACACATTTGATGTTTTAGTGAGTATTTACAGCAGAACGTGTGTGTGGTAAGATGGAATAAAATACAGTGCCCATGTTCATGGTGATGAAAGAACATGTAACCCAGTGCAATGATGTAGCACATTGATATTTGTTATGATTGAGATCAATTTTGGTCTTCTAATGGGATTTGTTTATCTTGCACAAATATGTACAGTCTCATCTCTCAACCTTTCACTCACTCTTGTACTGCCTCCTTTTTCTCCTCTTTCTCTTCATGCTTGGGTCCACTGAATGTGGACGTCGCTGTCGTCTGAACTCCCTGCGATGTCACATCAAGCCCCGCCCTCTTCTGGTCTGGGGCTGAAGGAGACGGGGACAGTGCAGCGGGGCTGCCAGGCTTACTGGTGTTTGTGGTGGCGTTGGATGGAGCAGAGGCACCACCGGAGGTACCAGCAGCAATCACAACACCCTCTTCGGAGCCCTCCCGCCCCGCTGTGGAGGCTTTGTCCAGGGGAAGGTCTTTAGGCTTGTCTGCTGGATCTCTGGGAGGCTTGGTCATCATCTGGTCAAAGGCAGCGTCTGAGTTTGAACTAGACTGCAACTGGAAGAGGGAAAGAAGAGTTAGAAGAGCAGCTTCATGAAAATAAAGTTTGTTATGTCAGATTTTTAGCATTTTTTTTAAACTGTACAAATGAAAGCGGTACTTACCCTAAAATCTACACTAAATTTCTTTAAATTATCTATTTGTTTTCTGTGGTCTGGTGCCATAGAAGGGGGTCCTGTAAGGTGAGTAGAAAGAGAGAGACATCATTGAGGGTTTTATTCATTACTAAACGGATTCAGATTCTAGTGAATACTACAGTCTAGTGTGTACCGTACCTTTACAGACTGGTCTGGTGATACTAGGTGAGCTGTCCAAGGGCTTGATGTTCTCCTTGTTTGCCGTAGGTGATGTTTGTCTTGTCTCCTGGACACGACACTCTTTTGCTATCCAGAACAGAAAAATAGTCTGTTTACTCAGGTATTTCATATCATACTTAGCATTCCTTATTCGCTCAGTCAAACCAAGTGAAAGTGTGACTTCAAGCTTACCATCTCCTGAAGGAGAGGCAACCATGTTGGGGGCGGGGCTAGCAGCAGTAGGAGAGGAAGCCGACGTAGGTGTAGCAGCAGTTTCCACAGGAGCTGTTCCTGTCTGGGGTGACGGGAGGGAGGAGGAGCCAGTGGAGGCTCCACCCATACTGTTCTGCCGGGGGGAGCGAGGTCTGTGAGCTGAGGAGGGGAAGAATAAAAGAGATTTTGGAGACTACATAATGTTTAAGTTAACTCAAACAAACATGTTGATTTACTGGCCAACATTAGAGGTTAGGTTTTCACTTATTTTTGCACTCATCACACTATAAGGTGCTTCTTTGGTGGAAAAAGTTAAATATTTTAAGTGCCCTTCAAAACATGTCAACCAGTGGCACTAGGGTTAAGAAAAGAGGAAAGAACTACTCTACCTCCACTAACCACCGAGGACCATGTCCCTCCAGAGGAGCTGCTCCTGGTTGGTGGAGTCACTGGGACCTCTCCAGGGGCATTGTGGGAAATTAAATCCACTCCTGGAGGGACTCCAGTGGTCCGGCAGGGTGGCACTCTGTGAGCACGAGGCGTCCGCTGGGATTTTGGAGACATCCTGGGTGGACCTGTAGATGAAGAAGGACAGATGAAGACTGACAGAACTCCATAAACAGAGAGTGGAGGTAAGGTAAACACACTCAACAGCCTGCGTTTCCTACCAACCTGTTGTGAAGAATCTGTGTCACACAAAAGCTTTTAAAAACCCCAAACCTCTGCACTGATTACATCTTAATATAAGGTTTAAATGTCACATCAGACAGTAATGTTATTTTGTGACATGCGTGTTAGTGGAGAAACTGGAGATAATCCTGTAGTTATCAAACACACAAGTGAAGTGAGAGATGATAAACAGGGAAACAGAGGAAAGAATGTGAGGTAGAAATCTGTGTTTAAGAATTCACGGTTTAGCAGAGTTTGAGTTTAACGAAGTGTGTAAACACTAAACACTAGTTAAATACTTTTCCATTTCACTGGAAAAAAACATTTGGAAAGTATAAACACGAGTCATAAGCATTTGGACAGCAGCACCGTGTTATTTTAGCTCAGTACTCCAGCTCATTGGAGTTAACACGAAAGGCCTACGAGGTAAAAGGGATCGCTTACAAATGCATTTGTCCCTCCAAATTTCGCACAATGACAAAGAGCATCAGTGTGGTGACAGTGGTGAGTCAACAACCCACAAAAACATGTTTTAAAATAATTTTGCAGTTGATATTCTCACCTCACTGCAACAATGTTAGGTTGTCATTACCGGTACAACAGTTCACACTTCTGGCCAACAGTGATGCTGGGTGTCAGAGACACAATACACTTAAAAACACTGAAGCAGAAGAGGTCAATGGCAGAATGGCAGAAAGTTCAATGATAAGTGTTAAATTACTCTTCCTCTTGACTGCTCTATCGGAAAACATACAGAGAAAACCGCTGCTTTGGTGTTTTCAGTGGCGTAACTCTTGCTAAACAGAAAGCACAGCACACAACGTGGTGCACCCACATGCCAAGGTGAAACTGCCTGACACACTGACAAAGGACCAGCTTTGTGGCTTACTAAATCCTCACAATGTCCATTTGCATGGAAATTGCAAATCTGACCCCAAATCAGTCTGAAGAAGCAACTTCACCTATTTGTGTTGTTCCACACTAGACCTGGGCAAAGTTATTTTTGAAAGTAGTTTGCTTATTTAACTGTGACATTTGTTAAAGCTTTCAATATGGGAATTTAATTTCCATATTGAGCTCAATCCATCCACCTTCAACTCATGCCTTTGCCCAGGTCTACTCCACACTGATGTGGGTACCTTCTGAAGACATGCGTTTGGGCAGAGTAGAGGCTGGCGACGTGGGCCCATGGTGAGAAAAGGAGGATGAGGAGGAGGGATAGGAGGGGTGGGATGAATGAGAGGGAGGCCTGGAAGGTCGAGAGGGGGGTCTGGAGGGTGGCCTGGTGGGCGTGGTCGCCCGGGGAGGCAGGGAGGAGGGGCCAGACTGGTAACGAGAGGGGGGGCGGGAGGAAGGAGACGGACAGGGTGAGGGCCAATGGGATGAACCTAAAAGAGGGAAGGACAAATGATCAAGGATGACAACCAGTTAAAGTGGGGAAAACAAAGGTAGGGCAGGAATAAAAAGAGGGGGGAGATTAATAAACATGAGGAAGAATGGCAAGGTAGGAATAAAATGATTTAACTGACATAAGTAAATAAAATGAATTAACAGCAACAACAAATAGCAACATCAGCTAATCGGTAGAAAATATCTCTATCATTATACTGAGCAACTCACTCACCAACCAATGCACATCTGTACATTTCAGAAGAAGAAACACCATAAGTTGTGTGTGATTTAATAAACGCACCTCCGTTAACCACCCTCTGGTCGGCTCCAGAGCTGGGACTGTAGTCGTGAGGTCCTGGTCGAGGAGCTGAGGGCCCAGCTGAGCTCTGAGCCAGACGAGGTGAATTCTGACGTCCCGGTCCCCAGGACATCGCCTCCCTGTTTCTCTGACCTGGAGGAATGTACTTGTTCTCTCTGCGTACACACACACACACACACACACACACACACACACACACACACAGACAATAGTCAAGATAACAAAGGGGAGGAATTAATTATACACTCTATTACAGTCAACTAAGTACTTATCATCAGCCAAAATGAGCATGTTTTCTTTAATTACCAAGGAAGTATTTGTTCTGGGAACAGCTGCTGTCTACTTAGTGAATTTGTTGGAATTACTTTGTCTCCCTTCAAGGCTCAAATATACTTCTCAAGCCTATGCCTGAGCTTTTCTACTGCACACCTACACCACGTGTAAGCAATATGTACGTACAGTAAATGTACTTGTGCTCTCATCCTTGCACTTACATTAAAAAAATAATATTTAGAAGTATAAACTAAATCCCACAACGGAAATATAAATGTTGCAGTGTTGTGTTGTGCTGCTACGTTTTAAAGCAGCTGGCATCGTAGCACACATCAAGAGCCAATTACAAACAATGAGAACAAATTAAATTTGATAGGCACAAACATAACTGCAAGGTCAGCACTCTCACACACTCGCCAGCACAAGAAGTATGCACTGTTAACTTATCTTACGTTTAGTACATGTGTGTCCTGGTCTTACCTGCTAAGTGTGTGAGTCTCCCTTTCCCCTCGCACCACAGCAGTATATTTCTCCTCCTCGGAGCGTTCATCGTTCTCCAGGGCCACACGGGCCTTGTATGTGGCACTGGCCTCAATCTCCTCTGCCAGCTGGGCGGCACGCGCCTCCCTCTTGAGGAACTCTTCTGAGTTGTCCCGCTCCAGGGGGACCCTGGGAAACAAGCTCAGGTCAGACAAGGGCAGCAGGATGATGGATGACTAGAGTAAGTCTCATCTCAAGTTTTTACTTTTGTCATGTGTGGTCACACTAAACAGTATTTAAAGAGTGATACAGCATAGGTCACTGACCAAAGATATTAAAACATATATTTGTTTTATCTCATTTAATTTTAAATAAACATGTAGATTGCTTATATGCAGGAAAAGGTGATACAAAGGAGAACATATTCAGAACATAGAGAAGCTTACGTATATGTGGACAGGCTGCTGTCATATGTAGACAACACTCCATACTTCTCCTCATTGTACTTGAACATGTCATTGGGGTCCCACCCGTTTGACTGATATGAAGAGAGAAAGAGGTAGAAGGCTTATAAACAAATTATCAATGCTGTGGATCAGATGACACAACATGTGCTTACCGCTGTCACAGTTAAATTTATGAAGGCCATTATAGATTCCATTCTATGTACTCACAACAAGTGCAGCATCAGTGTGTTCGTGTTGTGTTTATGTCGGTTTTCTTACCACATCCGTATCCAGAGACTCAAGGCTGTCAGAGTTGTGGGTCTCTCCTCCATCCCAGGGCTCTAGATCTTTCTCTTTATGCTCGCCATTGATCCTACTGCTCACTGCTGCATCTGTGAAGTTGTCTGCGGCACACACAAAGAATACATATTCATGTACAGCAGACTTCCACACACACACACACACACACACACACACACACACACACATACCATACACACCCACACAGAAGCTGATGATGGTATACAGTCACATGGCAGCACTCTCACTGTTTATGCAGGGAAGCACTCATGCCTCAAGAGCTTCTGCCACAAGCTCTCACAGCAAAGGTCTATATAGAGGTAGTGGTGGTTCACCAGGCACACCTACTCACAACCAGACATGGGTTTAACTAGATTGGGGGGGAAAATCCTTTCAAAAAAATTGAGCTATTTGCTTGAGCTGGCCTTTGTAAAGCTAACAAGTATAAAGGGCTCTGGCAGTGTGAGCCAGAATATGAAAACAGCATTGGAAAGACAGGATAGTCCCCAGTCACTCCCGCAGCCTCTAACAAAATAAACTAATTAAATCAAGAAGTAAGGTCCTACAATATTTTCAGCCGGATAAATTAAATATCAGAGTGTCTACAATGCCTGACTTTTTCCACTGCTTCATTTATTACCCATCACCCATGGCAACACCTTGAAAGGTAACATTCACATCTGTAAAATAGTATTCAGAGCTGGTAATAGTCCACATTTTCAGGGCCATTCACTATATTCAAATAAACTTACAGAATACTTTGGTTGGCTCAAGTACAACCAGGGACAGGCATGCTCAAAGAAAACCCCCAATTATATTTGAAAGGAAATCTAATCTCATGTCAGCCAAAGATTGTCATTAATGGACTATATGCATAAAGCATGAGCCACCTGGAGTTACATAACTCAGTCATCCCAACTCATCCCACAATACAAAGTGCATTTAAGCATTTCTGGAAGAGAGCAAGTTCAGAAATATTAGAGATTGGCACCATACAGACAGTTGGGCTAACTGAATTATAGTAGAGGTGGTGGGTATGCTCTATGCACACTGTCCAAGGGAATCATACATACAATAAGAAACATTTACAAATAAGATGTAGGCATAGTGAGGAGTAAGCAAACATGCATTTAGATTGCAGTCAATTACATGATCTCAAAGCACTTCAGGGCCAAACCAAATTTAACATCCTGATATCACTCCTTTTTTAATAAAATGCTCAGAAAAAGAGATTACTGTGCAAGTGCTTGAGATGAGTTTTCAATCTGTTGCTTTCAGTGGAATCAGTCATAATGCTTATAATTTCCCCTTTCCCATCTACTGTAGCTCGGATTTTAAATTTAGCTTGGGTCCAGTACGATTTGAAATCAAGCCCATATTTAGTTAAATAAAATAATTGCTGCAAGAGTGCCTTGGCTGGCCATCTATGTACAAGCTTTGTGCTTGGGCCTAAACCATAATAAAACTATATATTCAATTTTAGAATATAAATGACAGCTTAAACTATTGTTAAAAACAAATAAAACAAGTATTAGTAAAGTTAAACATTTTACACTATTAGGTCTGTATCACTCTCACACTGTAGATTCCACATAATTAAGCATAAGGCCAGGATAGGCTTAAATGTTGAGCCTCTGCTGACCTCTAAAGTTAAAGCTTAATTAAACAGTGTATGATAGGGAAAGTGGCAATTCTTCCACCGAAAGCAACATCCAGTCTTAAGATAACAAAGAATCTGGTGAAAAAATGAAGCAAGACTGACCTGCGTCAGATATTTGATTAATTCTTTTAGGTTATATGAAAAGCAGTGATGCAATGTAATGCAGCAATAGGTGGCAACAGATCAGGCCCAAGCCAAAGAGATTCACAAATTTGTTTGAGTGCATTCAGAGATGTGCGAGAGGAGAAAACAACCATATATTACCTGTGTCAGAGGAGACTAGACCATTGGAGAGGAGAGACAGACAGATGACAGAGAGTCAAAAGATGGATTGACAGGTACAATGACTGACTGGTGATCACACCAACAGTTGACTTCCTATCCAACAATTTAAGTTATGGACAATCTACAACATTTAAAGGGGAATTCTGTTTCCTTTTTTTACAACTTAAGTGTGGTTATCATAATTTTAGCCTAGCAAACTCCCCTTATTTTAGCTATTAGATTAAAAAACACATGTACCTTCTAAACAAAAATATACATTTCTGACTGTTATAAAAATAATCATCAGTTAACAGTCTTGTTGACTTAGGAACATAAGATCAGCAACATTAGCAACGGTGGTTTAGACATTTCACTTTCTTGCAAATTGACAACATTTACATGTACACTCATTTTCCACTATTATTCCAAACATGACAATATTCCACATTTGATACAGGTTATGTAAACAGCACATTCTGTTTGGATATTCCTAATTAGATGTTATTCCGAATGCAGAGTTTTCCAACTGAGACGTGTGGGATATGCAGATATTATTCGGGTTTTAGGAGCACTCTTTGGGCATGTATACGGCGCATTTGGAACATGCGTCTCATTTGAGGTTTTTACTGCAGTTTGAGACACACAGCCTCTCCCCTGTTTACGATCAGCCCTGTGCGTTTTAAACAAACCATCTAGCCACTAACAGTTTGCAATGCTGGAGTGGAGATGCATGCACAAAAGAAGATCCCACGTTTCTGGATGGAAGAAGAAGAAACATACCTACGTTTAAATATTATAAAAAGACTTGGATATCAAGAGGTTTTTAGGAAACGCACAAATATCGCAAGCCGTTCTTTTAAAAAACGTGGCTGAACGAATGAAAGTGGGAGGCTGTGTTTGCACGGCCGAACAAGTCTGCCACTGGTGGACGTAAAAAGCCAAAACGGCTCAAGCAGCTCCAGCTGTTCCACTTTCACCACAGGGGCAACAAGACTGCAGTTTGAAAAGGAGGAAAAGAAGGAAAAGGACAGAGAGAAAAGGAGGGAAATTCCTCTGTAGAATATACATAATTAACAGTTACATTTATGTAGTAGGTAGAGTATGTACAGCTGCATCTAAACAGGACATTTAGTGGAATATTTATATTCAATATTCATATATATTTCATTAGGCATGTAAACACCTAACTAGGAACATTGTCTTTTTTGGAATAAGTTTAAAAAGCGGAATATTTTGCACATGTAAGCGTAGTCACTGTGAAATTTCCAATCAGTCTACAATTTTTAATTTAACAGGATAACAATGTGTAGCACCATCTCCCTGCATCATGTGGTGCAACGCTCACTTTTTCACCTGTTCATTTCTTTTTTTTTTTAAATAATACCCTCCCACACAGTCCATTATCATTCAAAGGAGAATTGTATGGGTCAAGATGAATTAGATGAAGAAGACTCATTCGGCCTTTATTGAGTGTCCTTGCTGCGCCAGGGCAACCTTCGGCCCAATCAATAGATCACATTAGTCTTCAATGACCGGCCACTCAGAGCAGACACATGAGATTTAACTCATGGCAAAGCCTCTGTGACATAAAGGTAGTGAATACAGACTGAAAAAGATCAATATGTTGTTTGTATGCACTGATGGGCATTCACTGTGGCATGTGTTTATTTTTCTGTGTGTGCAATGAATACAAAATGACAAACTAACCTAGTTACATTGTGTATGTTTGTCACAAGTGTTTAGTGTGTACAAGCCTCGGTATATCAAGACTGCCGTTTATGTACCTAAATAATATTTCAACACAAACGTCCTCAGTACCTTTCCTGGCAAAATTCAGGTCCACATCTTTGAAGGTCACCACTACCACATCTGAGGCCTTGAAAATGATGCTCTCCACAATATCTTCTTTCCTGGGGGCTATGCTTGGCTCGGGGCTCTTTCTGTGGGCTGCATCCAACACCAGGTCACACTGAGAGAGAAAGTTATGTTACATTTTATGAAAGGGGAATCTGAAATACAGCAAAACCCTAAACTGTCTGCAGAAAAAATATGAGGAACCATGGGAACCATTGTTTCATCCAAATCATCCACTGCAAAAAATCTGTTGTTAACCATTTTAGTAATTAATCTAAGTACATTTAGTAGCAAAATGCCAAACATTCTTGCTTTGTTCCCCTCTGTCATGTTGTTTTAAGAGGTCACCTTGGGCTCAGAAAAACTGCAGCAGACCTCTTACACCATTTTCTGACGTTCTCTACAATAAACTTTGAATCAATTATTAAAAAAAAGTGATAAATGGCTAATGAAAATAATCCCTATGAGCACAACCAGAGAAAAGATAAACCAATCCATCACTTGGTGTGTTTCACTGGAATGAAAACCTGTAATCTTGGCTCAATATGCTTGCCTAAAGCCAAACTACCTCTCTAGGTTCTTTGGCTGACAACATATATAAACAAAACTCTGACTGACATCAATTAATTGAGCTCTGCTTGTTTAATGGAAGCCATGCCAGATGGAGGAGCTTGTGAGTTGCAGTGGGAGCAGAGTCAACCTCTACTTTTGTAAAAAAAAAAACAAGAAGTACTAAAACTAGTTTAATACTGTGGAAGAAAATGGAAAACATAAGCCCTGCAACCAAACATTACATTGTTTACTAAGAGACAGTGTACAGCAGGAGTGGTGAATACAGCTGTGTGAATATTTCAGCATGTTTGACTGTTAAGCTTACACACGCTGTGGTAATAAAAGCCAAATGTGGTGCTTTGTTTTGGTCTCAAAACAAAGTGGTGCGTTTGCCTTCGCAACCACACCAAATTCAATTTCTTCAGGAGTATCCTGCCAGCCTTACTCACATTTCAGTCACACAACCTTATAAAAGAGATGGGAGGTACAAGATACATGAGTATCAACCTTGATATTTTGTGTGAGAACAGGGAATAATGTATGTTACAAACATCCCATTTAGAACTGAAGTTAAAACGAAGCTCTGGACAGAGACTTCTTCCATTGCTCAGGTTAAGCTTTTAATTTTTGTGAAAATGATATTTTCCCCACAGGAGAAAGACTGGGGAATACTTCAGCCTAAAAGGCAACATGAAGCGCCACATACCTCTCTTCCATAAAAGGAAAGATGGAAAGGGCGATCTTTGTCTAAACCACCTCAGGGGTGAAGCTGCTATTGAGTGCTGGCTGGGCACTATCCTCCCAGCACAGTTAACCTTAATCATTAGTACTGCTACTGAGGAAATCACAGATCGAGCACCATATTAGCACCTATAACGAACATCACACCGCGTCTGATCCTTACCTCTGGACCGTATGTCTTAAATACTCCTTCATAGACTGCTCCGTTTTTCACTTTCAGCTCACACTTGGCCCCCTATAAATAAATAGGCCTATTGTTATTCACTGTATGTGGTGTCAATGTCAATTTACACATTCAAAAAACAAGTTCAAAAAACCCATCTGCTGTGAAACAGATAAATGATTGATCAATCTCTGCTTTGTTTATGCAAGCAGCTGTCTCTACAAATCACACAGGCTTTGTTTATAGCAGCGTAGACATTTTGAAGAACCAGCATGTGGTGAAAGACAGACTGCGGTACATACTGCTGTTACAAATTCATTTAAAGTAAGCATGATTCACAGTGCTGTTTCACACAACATTTGTTTTTGTTTGTTTCTGCTTATTTCTTTGTTCGTTATTGTTATTACACAGAAGACAAACATATCTGGGACATCATGTCAAAAACTTAACAAGACAGACAGTAAACATACCACCACTGAAGTCAAGACATGGACCATCCTCATATTTGCATATACACCATTGAAATTGACCTAAAGAAAGAACACAGTTAAAAATATGCTAAATAGTTTCTCACGGCTGTCTGACACCTATTAGACATTTGTTTCATTCATAATGCTGAACTGTAAGAAATGTACATCCACCCACTGGATGTGTGATTTATCTAAGGTCCGTTCTGTGCAACTTTTAAACCAAACTGTACGCCTTACAGAAACACGACACTGTTCAAGTGACTCTGCACAGAATGAACCAAAAGTAAAGCATCAATCCAGTGTGTGAGGTTTCAAAAAGCAGCTTCCCTTCTTTGATAACGTACAGCACTCAGGTACACCAAACTTCTACTGATCTTCCAATGACTTATAAGAGTTAACCGGTTACTTACTGCTGCGGGACCTTTACCACTGTGTCTTCCTCTGAAAGAAAAAAACAGCATTGGTGTCAAACTCGTCGTCATCATCATCATCATCAGCGCTGAATTTCTTACTAGCAGACTGAAACAAAGCGCTCTCTGATGAGGACAACTGTATAACTGGATGACAGAAATCTCAGGAGGCGGTGGAGTAAATCTTTCAATTAATCCATCTATCATCACCATGAAACATCCAATTTAATAAGACACTAAAATGTCTTCCACGTGTAAATTAATTACATATTCAAATGCAATGTAGGTTCTGAGATTTCCCACAGATTCCACAATATATTTAGCTGGTTAGAATAATGTTCAGGAGGCTGCCAGACAAACACTCAGTAGCCTACATTTTACCCCAAGCATGTCCTAAAATGCACCTTGTTCAGCAGCTGGCACATCGCCAGGAAATTCACACTTGATTCAACGTAGGCAATGGCCACATTCCCTACATTATACCAGTGGTAGTAAATGAGTAACAGGCTCACTTGGACACACTCAGCTCCTGAATACTGAAACGAAAACCAATCCAAGTCCTGTCGAACTGATCCTCGTCCAGTCTCACTTTACAATACATTCACACGGCCTTAACAGATGAAACCTACGCAATGAATGAGCCGTGCTGTCCTAGTGACCGGTGAATAGGAGCCGGACCACATTAACGCCATTAAAACGCACAATCCGCACGCAGCTCCTGCACTGACTGTGTGTGTGTGTGTGTGTGTGTGTGTGTGTTAGCTGTATCGCAGGACGACATGTACAGAAATGTCATGCTTTCAAGGACACAATTTCACACGAGCAGCGACGGAAACGTCAAGGTTGAAAGCCCGGTCGGTCTGTAGCGTTAATCTCCCCCCCCTCCTCCTCCTCCTCCTCTCCCCATCTCTCTCCTCCCTCCCTCCCTCCTCCTCCTCACCCCATCGTCTCCACACCCACCCCTTTCTATCGTGCGCCCACACGCTTTATATCAATTTCTTGGCAAACCCGTTGCAGCAATATTGCGGTAACCAAGCGAGGTACCGTGATAGTGAGATGAAAACAAACACCGTCGCTTCACAGCCGGTCTCTTGGGCGGAAAAGTCGCCAGGCTGCCCCGTTAGCTAGCCGATATAACACTGAATGAGGCAAGTGCACTGAATGACAAGCATGGGCTGTCAAACAGCTAATTACCGCTAGCTCACATCGACTCCCGGCTGATAGTAAACCGATACAAGCAACTTGGCAAGCGGCTTCACTGCAACGCACATGTGCAAAAAAACACATTTACATGTCCACGCAAATATGTCTAAATGCACAGCGAGGGGGGGCCAGACCAGTGTGTGTTTCATTTAACGTGCAAGAGGAGGTAACGTAACGTCGAAGTTGCAACAGCACTGGAGCCAGCAGACAGGCCTCGCTAGCTCCACCGCATAACGTTACGGTAGGTGACCAACACGTCGCAAGGCCCACATACCGTCCACGAACACGTACTACTTTTTGGACCCCTTAACGGGAATGTCATCTCTCGAAACCGCCACGGTTGGAAGCGACTGTGTCCAAGTGCTGAAAAGTGGCCACATTAACCCACCACCGCTGCGTTTTTAACTCGCTACGTGAGCGTTTTAATTTCACAGACCTGCCCAGATTCTGTCTTCCCCCGCCGCTTCCTCCGGCACCGGAGGCGGCGGCACCAGCGGTGTTGCCGCCGCCGGGCTTGCTGCGATTTCCACCGGCCTTCATTGACATTGTGATCCCATAAAAGACAGCGTCTCAAAACGACCAGCTTCACACCGCAGCTTCTTGACGACGAGACGGTGTGTGTGTGTTTGTGTGACAGCTCGCAGGCTAACGTCAACGTGCCTCTGGAGGGAGATGCTATGCTATGAAGCTAGCTGGCTAACAGTCGCTAGCTGGATTAGCAATCTGTACAATTCCTATTAAAACAGAAATAAACAATATTTAAAAAAGACAACGCGCGCCAATTACTCTTCCGAAATAAACATGGATGTAACACCTCTTGTCGATTTCTTATGTAGTCCTAACAACAAAATTAGATTATCTCAAAATACGGTTTACAGCTATCTCGGGTTTCTTTCCGTTGCTAACAGCGAAAAGACCAAAACAGTCTGAAAGGGGACAAAAAACCGCGGAGGGATATATGAAAGGCGTAACGGCTCACAACATACAACACATATCCTGCGCTGTGTTCTTTGACAACCGTGAACACGCTAAAAGGACGAATGGGATTATATTGACTATGGAGCGCCACTAGAAATATATATGGATTAATTTATTTTTAAAAATACACCTACAACATGGCACTATTTTCAGGAAGTTCATGAACGCTCAGTGGCTGTTCAGTGGCATCCACGTGAGCCGGCAAACACACACTACACACACAGACGCACATGCATAGAAACATGTTATTCACACTCTACCTGTGTGTGCATATTTGGCAAACTAAACTTAGACATTGCGATAGGACGATTAGCGTGATGAAGATGACTTCTTTCTTTGAGGCATCCCCATCTTGCAACAACCCTGATGTGGAAACAGAGACACAGGGAGTTGGTTGGACAGGTTAATAGCCTTAACAGCAAAATCATGAGGCAAATACTCATGGATGATGTCGTTAATAAAAGATCAAAGGTTGTGCATCTGGCAGAAAAGTAAAACATTTGTTTATTGTAGATGCCATTTAAACAGACGCACTACTGTTAATTTTATTCTGTTAATTGTATATATTATATATACATACATAATACTTT